TATTCCATGTTTCATGACTGTTCCAATATACCAAGTGAATGGCTTTAAAAAAGGGTGTTTGGAAAAGAAACATATTTACAATTGTACATGTGCACCATATTAATATAACTGCCCTTTCTTTCTTTCAATGACCCTCTCCATGACATTAAGGATACACATACCTGTATGGATGATGCATTTGCTTTCAATACAGAGTAGAACTCCTCATCGAGATTCCTTTTAAGTGTCAGGTCAGTCAAGTTTGGCATAGAACAAAGTGCTTCTGCTAGATGATGTGATGAGGCTGGTTTGAGATATCTCTCAAGGTCAAGCTTGAGAGTCTGGACCTGCATTGTTTGTCAATATAGTCAAGTAACTCATCTTTACATGCATACATTTATGCAAGGTATTTATAACTCTGGATTTCATGTGCACAAGACCCCTGAGTCAGGAGGTTTGTTGCTATGGTACAGTTTTGTAATTCAAGACTTTATTGAAATTGGCTCTTAAAAAAACTACACGACATATTTTTCCTATCTATCAAACTGGAAAAGGTTGGATATTGATTATTGATCAAAACAATGCCAAACTTATACACATTTGACTTTCAACTGAATCAGCTAGCACATTAATAGGTTGCTTTCATTCCATGTTTCATGACTGTTCCAATATACCAAGTGAATGGCCTTTAAAAAAGGGTGTTTGGAAAAGAAACATATGTACAATTGTAGATGTGCACCATATTAATATAACTGCCCTTTCTTTCTTTCAATGACCCTCTCCATGACATTAAGGATACACATACCTGTATGGATGATGCATTTGCTTTCAATACAGAGTAGAACTCCTCATCGAGATCCCTATCAAGTGTCAGGTCAGTCAGGTTTGGCATAGAACAAAGTGCTTCTGCTAGATGATGTGATGAGGCTGGTTTGAGATATCTCTCAAGGTCAAGCTTGAGAGTCTGGACCTGCATTGTTTGTCAATATAGTGAAGTAACTCATCTATACATGCATACATTTTATTTACTAATTCCTCAATGTATTCTTACATTTCACACATATCCCATTGAATACATAGTTGCAGTCATAAAAACATTCTCAAGCAAAATGAATGAATACTTTTTGTTTTCAAATTCATTTCTTGTGTATTGAAATTAGAATACACTAAAGTTTCTAGGGAGAGGAGAATTTATTAATAGTCATTTTTTAAATAGATTCTATATGTATTCTTTATGGGGCTTCCAACCTGAGTGTTTGCATTGATAAGTCCTACTCCTACTAACACTGAAATTTATAGTACCCAGAAATATGCTAAGGTATTTATAACTCTGGATTTCATGTGCACAAGACCCCTAAGTCAAAAGGTTTGTTACTATGGTACAGTGTGGTTATTCAAGACTTTATTGAGATCGGCTCTTAAAAAAACTATATGACACATTTTTCCTATCTATCAAACTGGGAAAAGGTTGGATATTGACTATTGATCATAACTTTTTTTTGGTCCCGGAAATTGGAAATATGGCCAACCGATATTTGTATTCAGGGGGGGGGGGGGGGGGGGTAAGGTCAGTTTTTGACCCTCTCCATGACATTAACATAAGGACACACATACCTGTATGGATGATGCATTTGCTTTCAGTGTAGAGTAGAACTCCTCATTAAGATCCATATCAAGTGTCAGGTCAGTCAGGTTTGGCATAGAACACAGTGCTTCTGCTAGGTGATGTGATGAGGCTTGTGATTCAGCTGGTGTGAGATGTCTCTTATTATGAAGCTTGAGAGTCTGGACCTGCATTGTTTGTGAATATAGTTAAGCAGCTTATCTATACACGCATATATCTTATTAAATATTTTCTCATGGTCTTCTTACATTTAACATAAATTCTATTAATTAAAGAGTAGCATTCATAATCACATTCTAAACAAAAGTGATTGAATAGATTTCTTTTTCAAATTCAATTCTTGTCTATTAAGAAAAAGAACACAGTAAAGGTTTTATGGAAAAGATGATTTTTGTACATGTGAAAAAAAGATTTATTAAAAAAAAAAAATTCTATGTGTATTTTTTATGGGGCTTCCAACCTGTTTCCAATTGATAAGTCCTACTACTACTAACACTGAAATTAACAATACCCCAAAATATACATTTGCCTATTAATGTAGTATTAGGTATTCATAACTCTGGATTTCATGTGCACAAGACCCCTAAGTAAATTCAAGCCTTTATTAGAATTGGCTCTTAAATAACTTACTAAATAACATCATCCTGAAACTTGCCATGATAATAGATCCCAGTCTAACTTAGAACTGTGTGACTTTTCAGTAACACAGAATAATTGTGACGTCATCCAGGCGCCATTTTGTGAAAATCAACTCATGATCATATCTTCATAACAGAAAGTCATTTCTCATTCATATTTATCATCATCAAGGTCAATATCTGCACGGTCAATTTCAGGTCAATAAATGCACGCAAAAATGCGTGTACGCGTATGTCCGCGCATTAACACACGCGTCAAATTTTAAATTGCTCAAAATCGTCTTAAATTTGCATACGTTTCAGGCCATAATGAGCATTTGCCCAAAAATCATGCACACATTTTTTGCACATTTTCGTTCGTCACAGCTGAACGCAAAATAATTACCTCTCAAATTTTTTTTGACAGGATATTTTTCCAAACAATTTGATACCATTTTTTTCTCTTTATGACCATTAATAAGGGAATGAGCGTCAATTCAAGATAAATGTCTGTGCTCTTGTAATACATAGCATATATGGGCAAAAACATGTCTATACAAAATCCATCATAGCTCTTTTGTTGGAAAGGAACCCTCAATTTTTTTCCATATTTAGATGGAATATAAGTCGGAGATATGATTTCATGTCTCATTTGGCCATTAAGTATATTTTGACATTATCATATTGACCTTGGAACTCAAAATACGAATTTGCATATTATGACGTCAGCATATTTATGGAAAATGATTGTATCTCTGTAAATATTGATCATTTTTCTTCTAAATTTTGATATGTTGTAGCTAAGACAATTTTCTACACGATCAGTACACATCATTCTTCATTTTGATGCCGTCATCATAGTAAAAAGTTCAATTAAAGGCCATATGTCAGAATTTTCTTAATTTGCGTGTTATGCCTATGGCAGGTGAATTTTGTTCACATCATGAATCTACATGACATTAATCTTTGAGCACTATCTAGCTTATTTGTGCTCTATTTTCTTCCGAATTTTGGTATATTATAGCTGAGAATATGGGCTATCTAAATGTGCCTTTTGTTTATTAATCAGATGTTTGGATCATGTCAAGATTTTCAATTGAAAGTTGAAATTGCAAATTCTGTAGAACTTTGCCGGAATTATGAATATGTCACGTATGTCCTATCTGTGAAATTTAAACTTTAGCAGTGTCCTAATATTCCAATTATGCCAGGTAACCCATTTAATTTCTAGTCTTTACTGTCAGACACTATTCAGTGACTGACTCAGGGGAAAAAATGCATGGGGGCTCAGGGCGAATTAGCCCCCGAAAGTCATAAAAGAGCCCCCCCCCCCCAAAATAGCATAGAGTTCAATGCAAAACAAAATAAAGAGTGTTATTTCCATGCAAGCAAGCTTGAAAAGTAGCCCGCGAAATGTTTAAAGTATTTTTTTCCCTGGACTGACTGACTTCTTTTTTTTCTCTGGTAATAAAATACATGAAATGAGCTTTATAGGGAACATGAGCATTTGTCTACATCAATAACCCACTTCTTGTAATGGCCCAAAATAAACTGATTGAATCTCTGCGCAGGACAATATAGGTAGAGCATTTCATGGAATAAGATGAAATTGTGAAAATGCATTCTTCATTATGTCAGATAGGGTCAAAGTGGTAACTGCTTACTGTACGGGGTCAATGGTTATATTGTATCAATCTATCTTCCATAGATCTATAATGGTCAATATGCTACATAGTTGAAACTTTGCATATGGATAGACCATAATGGGAAGAGTTTTTAAAAGCTCATATAAAGTGAACATGCATTCTTGATTATGTAAAACATTAGCATACGTATCACCTAATTCGTCAAAGTAACAAATTAAAGTCTAGTTTTTTAAAATTCTGTATGTATTCTTTAAAGGGCTTCCAACATGTTTGCATTGATAACTCCTACTCCTAATAACTTTTACTCCTTTTTTTCTTCTTCAATGACTCTTTGATTGACATATACATTAGTACACAGATACCTCTATTGATGATGCCTTTACTTTCAATGTAGAGTAGAACTCATCCTATCTATCAAACTGGGAAAAGGTTGGATATTGACTATTGATCACAACTTTTTTTGGTCCCGGAAATTGGAAAATATGGCCAACCGATATTTGTATTCAGTGGGGGGGGGGGGGGGGGGGGGGGGGGGTAAGGTCAGTTTTTGACCCTCTCCATGACATTAACATAAGGACACACATACCTGTATGGATGATGCATTTGCTTTCAGTGTAGAGTAGAACTCCTCATTAAGATCCATATCAAGTGTCAGGTCAGTCAGGTTTGGCATAGAACACAGTGCTTCTGTTAGGTGAAGTGATGAGGCTTGTGATTCGACTGGTTTGAGATATATCTTATCATGAAGCTTGAGAGTCTGGACCTGCATTGTTTGTGAATATAGTTAAGTAGCTTATCTATACACGCAAATATCTTATTAAATATTTTCTCATGGTCTTCTTACATTTAACACAATTTATTTTAAAGAGTTACATTCATAATCATAATCACATTCTCAACAAAAATTATTGAATAGATTTTCTTTTTAAATTCAATTCTGTCTATTGAGAAAAAGAACACAGGAAAGGATGATTTTTGTACATGTGCAATAGTTTTTTGCTTCTTTCAAATTCTGTATGTATTCTTTAAAGGGCTTTCAACATGTTTGCATTGATCAGTCCTACTCCTAATAACTAATACTCTTTTGTTCCTTCAATGACTCTTTAATTGACATATACATTAGTACACAGATACCTGTATGGATGATGCCTTTGCTTTCAATGTAGAGTAGAACTCATCATTGAGATATATTTTAAGTGTCAGGTCAGTCAGGTTTGGCATAGAACACAGTGCTTCTGCTAGGTGATGTGATGAGGCTGGTGTGAGATTTTGCACATCTTCAAGCTTGAGTGTCTGGACCTGCATTGTTTGTGAATATAGTTAAGCAGCACGTATATACACACATATGTTATATTTGCTTATTTCTCACTGTATATTATAATTATCACCAACTGCATGCATAACACAGCTGTATTAATATTCACCTTCTTAACAAAGATAACTATAGAGGCCCGTATTCTGAAGTCAGGTTTAAGTCTAGTGTAAGCCTCGCCTAACTCTCAGATTTAAACCTAGGTTTAACAATGCGTTTCTGAAGTCAGGTTTAACTTAAACCTAGGTTTAAGCCTGGTCTAACTCTGTGGAAATTGCACACATATTTAAACCTGGGGTACACCTAGTTTAAGTCTGGCTTAAGTCAGGTCTAACTATTTGTTGGATATTAAATTAAAGAAGAAGACACCATTAAAAGGCATTACGAAGAATAATAGCAAATAATGAGACCGGAGAGACCTCTTGTGGAAAGAAAAAAACCTTCACAATCATGGCGACAATGATTTTTTTTGCATCGCTGTCATTTTTAAATACCAAACAAACAGCGATTTGCACTTGCTAGCTAGCTGACTCCAACACTAGAGAGACACACACACATCGTGTGTGGATGAAAGTGGGCCTTGCGATTTTATGCCTTCAGCAAGTTTGAACATTAATTTGGATACTTCACTTGCTTATTGAATCTTTATGCCTAATATTTTCTAAGTCTTAAGATTTTATATTTTATATAAGATTGTGTGATTTGTATAGTACGACAATCCTTGAAACTATAAAGTTGCCAAAGTAAATCAACACGTATCACTTTGTTGCAGAGGAAAACAAATATAGTAGCCCCATACCTTTAGTTTGCTCAGCAGTTTTGAAACTGTGAGTGCAATACACATTTTCGATGTAAACAAATGCGAGTTAAAATAAAATTGTAAGGTTGGATTAGAGTAGAGCTAAATCTATATTTATAAGACAATCATGGATTAGTCTAATTAAGAGCCAACAAGCGTATTAAGCCGAAACTCTAGACCTAGTAGATTTTTTGGTAGAATCTAGATCTAGATCTAATTCCACAATTTCTGCCCTAGATCTAGTACTAGGCCTACTAGTCTAGACCCTAGGCCTATGAGTATAATTAGGCGCGTCTAGTCTATTAATATTATGTCAAAACATCAGACCAGAACATCATAAAGATGCACTAGGTCTAGATCTAGATATTTAGATCTAGACCTAGATCTAAATAAGATTAAAATGACTAAAAGAGAAATGATCAAAAATACCTTCTTGATGCAGAATAACTAGTCCAAAGTCAACATTGAACTTTGAAGCTCATATGCTCGAATTTTAAGCATTTTTTTTTAGGACAATGCAATACGTTTTCTAAACTGTGTGTATGAATGAATGTGCGCACGATCAAATGATATGCGCGCACGATGACCGAGAAGGGGATCGTGATACCCGAAACGCCGGTTCGAAAAAGGATTGCATTGTCCTAAAAAAAATGCCTAAATATCAAACAAATGAGCTTCAGCAATGTCGGACTTTGGACTAGTTATTTTGCATCAAGAGGGTATTTTTGATCATTTTTAGTTTCTCTTTTAGTCATCTAAATCTTATTTAGAGCATTTTTATGATGTTCTGGAAGTTTTGACTAATCTGGGTAGGTCTATGCAGAAATTGTAGAATTACCGATTTTGTTATTGATTGTTTATTCGTAAAGATCAATTCAACCTCGATTCAGTCTTTTTCAGCAGTTTTACAATAAATCAAATGGTAAAACAAAACAAAAATCATGCCATAACGTTCAACGGTTGCTTCGAAAGAGATTTGTTTGTGTCAAATATTTTTAATTGAAATTATTAAATTTGCAGCACGAAATCCAGCTATAAAAAAAGCCTATATCAGCTACCCTTGAAGATCATGGATGAGCTGTACTGAGCATGTGCAGTAGAAGCAGACTACATCTCCATGGTAGTTAAACCTTGGCTTAACTTTAAACCTGGGTTTTAGACTTAAACCTAGGTTTAACTAAACCTGGCTTTCAGAAACTGAAATGATACTTAGACCTGAAGTCAGGTTTAGTTAAACCCAGGCTTAGAAACCTGGGTTTAACTAAACCTGACTTCAGAATACAGACCATAGAGTTTTAAAGAAACTTCAATTCTTGTCTAACACTAAAGTTTATATCATAAGGATGATTCAGTTATATATTTTTTCTAAAATATCCTATATGTATTCCTTAAAATACTTCCAACCTGTCTACATTAATAAGACCTACTCTTAACAACATTGAAATAATACCAAGAAATCTGCATTTGTTATTAACATAGTGAAGGTATTCATACCTCTGGTTTCATGTGCACAAGCTAAGTCAGGAGTTTGTGGCTATTGTACAGTTTTGGTAAATTCAGGCCTTTATCGAATTTGGCTGTTACAAAAGCTACCTGACATATTATTCCTATCAATCAAAGTGGAGAGGGTTGGATATTAATTTGTGATCAAAATAATATTCATCTCATACACACTGGAATTTCAACTAAATACGCACTTCCATAGTTTACTTTCATTCCATTTTACTGACTATTCCGATGTATCAAGTGAATGGCATTAAAATAAAAAATAATAATAAAAATTAAGTCGGGTTTGGCATAATACTAATTATAAAACCGGTGCTTATAAAGCGCCTTCCACCAAAGTCTCTAAGCGCTATAACAAACAAAATACAATGACAAACAATTATATATTAAACAAACAAGGGAAACGCTCTCGGCGGTCTCGCCTGCATTACGCAATTCAATATGATGAAAAATGGAGGTTAGGACATTATTCATAGGCAGGGTGGCCCATTAGCAGCCCCCCCCCCCAATGAAATCCTCTACATATAATCAGCATTTTGAAGTGAATATTGACCAAGAGCCATCAGAAGAATTATTTATTATAATTTGTACCCAGATTAATAACTTTAATGGAACATGAAAAAATAACATTTTTTTTTTTAAATCCTCACATACTGACCTAAAATTACCTTTGACCCTGACTTTGTGACCTGGAATTTGCGTCATAAGATTTTCGATACTTGATAACCCTTGTGTTCAAGTTTCATGGAATTTGAACAAACACTTTTGAAATTATGCTAAAATTTCAAAATCTTGATGTTGATGCCACAAAAGAGTCAAAGTTTGTTGACCTGAAATGACTTTTGACCTTAATTTGGTGACCTGAAATTCTACTCGCATGATTGGGGATACTTGATAACCCTTTAGTCTAAGTTTCATTGAATAAGAACTTATATTTTAAAAATTATACTAAAAATTCAAAAACTTAACCTTAGGTTAAGTTTTTGATGTTGATGCCGTCGCCGCCGCCGCCGTCACCGGAAAAGCGGCGCCTATGTCTCGCTTTTTTGCTACGCAGGCGAGACAAAAATTACAAATAAACTTACAAATTACAATACATATGAAATATACATCAATGTGAACAGAGTATTAAAGTTAATCATTAAAATCATCAAAAATCATCTGAAGACAAGTTTTGAATTGGTTGACAGTCTGACAGATTTTGACATGTAAAGGTAGTTTGTTCCAAAGTTCAGCAGAAGCTTTGCAAAAAGAGCGATGACCATAAGAAAGAGTAAATTGACACTGAAGTTATGTGCACTTTTGACAGGCTGTATTGGAACATTAGCAATTTTGACAGATGGTAATGGGAGGACTTTCTGAATCAAGATGTTACATGAATAACCTTAGTTTTATCCTTGTTTAATTTCAAATCATTAGCAGTAGACCAAGCTTTGATATCATTTATACATCTTTCAAGTTTGGTAATGTCAGAATGGTCGGAATCACGTTTCAAAACAACATAAACTTGGGTGTCATCTGCATATATCATTCGGCCTAAACCATGCGCTTTTGCGCTTCAATAATATCTGCAAGTGGTGCAGTGTACAAAGTAAACAATAAAGGGCCGATGACGGATCCCGGAATAACACCTTCAAGTGGTACATGAGGTAGGGATAAAGAGTCATTAATGACGATAGGTTGAGAATGATTCATAAAATATATTTTAAACCAATTCAAGGCAGTACCTGATTATCCTGATACACCATATCTATTACGCAAGCGATCCAGAAAAACACTATGACTGATAGTATCGAAAGCCAAAGAATAGTCTAAAAGGATAAAAATAGCTTCATCACCTTGGTCCACAGCTTACAATAAATCATGATTCAGATGCAGATTTATACAGAGATGAATTTAATATATCAGTGCGAAAGACATTAAAATCAATATTGCGAAATTTACGGAAAGAGATTTTCGTTTTTGCTGATTTTGGTCGCGCTATATTCAGATTACATATCACAGCAGAATGACCAGACAGCAAATAACTGGTATAGTATTAAAATTTGAGAAAAAGTGATCATTATTTCGAGTAGGGATGAGATCCAGAGTGTGTCCATCTTTGTGGGTACGTCCAGTAACATATTGAGTAATCTGGCAGAGGTTATGAGATCTGTAAAAATAGTAGCTTCTCTATCAGTTGAGTCGTCTACATGAAAGTTAAAGTCTCTGGCGATGAGAAGTAAACCAGGTATAGATGCAATATCCTCCAAGAAAGTGCCAAATTCACAAAAGAAAATCGGTGCCAAATGTTCCTTATCTTTTGTTTTTTGAGGCCGATCTAGGATGATGAGGCAAAGAGGCTTTAGGGGGATAGATGATGCAGCTAAATCAATATATTCAAAAGAATGGAATGATTAAAATACGGTTTTGTGAATTTTGAAGGTAGAACGAAGAAGCACACATACACCACCACCTTCCCTTCCAATACTGACGTGGGATGTGGTGTGTGTCATAATTTCGGAGAGTTGTAGTTAGATTGGCAATGGGTTGGTCATCATGATATTTGCCTGTCAACCAGGTGTCTGT